CCTGTCTCCCAGGAGTTTCCTTCAATTATTTTTGATGATTTCTGTGTGCTTGGAGCTGCTCTCAAGTTTTAAAGTATTCATTAATGTATCTGACATCTACATGATAAAATAACACGATTCCAAATAAAGAAGCTAAGATGCAGAAGGACTAGTTCCAGGAGCACAACTGGAGAGAAGAGGGAAGGTTCCTTTGGAATTTTTTCCCTGAGCACTGTACCCATCTTTTGCAAAAGTGGCCTTTGTGAGTTCCAGGCTGGCCTAAGCTACACAGTAAGACTCTTGCCTCAAAACGAAACAAAATAACAACCAAAAAAGAAAAAAAGAAAGAAAATCTTAAAGCTAAGACAATGTCTAGAGGAAAATCAGAAAACTGAATTGGGGGGAAATGCATGGGGGGGTGGTGCTGGCAGGATGGTTCAGTGGGTAACATACTTGTTGGGCAAGCCTGGTGAGCTGAGTTCAATACCTGGGACCCATACAAAAGAGAACTGCAAAAACTGTCCTATGACCTTCATAAACACATTGTATTGTGCATACACACAAATCAATAAAATTTTAAATGCCTGTGGGTTTCAGTGTGGGCTGTGGCCCTGGGTGAAAGCTGGTGTGGTATCATGGAAAGTTGCCTCCTAGGAACATCTTTATTTTTCACTATAGCTAGTACCTTAGCATCTGTCATGGTAGCTGTCTTAGTCAGTGCTCTATTGCTGTGGAAAGGAACGAGGACCACAGCAACTCTTAAAGGGGAAAGCATTTAATTGGGGCTTGCTTACAGTTTCTGAGGTTTTACCACTTGTCATCGAGGCAGGGAACATTATTACCATGGGGACAAATACGATGACACGCAGGCAGACTTGGTATTGGAGAAGCAGCTCAGGGTTCCACATCTGCATCCATGGGCAACAGGAAGAGTGAGACACCTTGGGCTCTTCAAACCCCAAAGACCCCTCCTCCAAGAATGCTATACTTTCTCAAATAAGGCCACACCTCCTAACCCTTCCCAACTAGTGCCACTCCCTGATGACCAAGTATTCACATATATGAGCCTATGGGAGTTGTCCTTATTTAAACCACCACAGTGGCACATGCCTATTGTCCCAGCTCTTGAAAGGTAGAAGCAGGAGGATCAGGAGTTCAGGTCATCCTCAGCTATCTCCAGAGTTTTAGGCTATCCTGGGCTACATAAAACGCAAATCAAAATAAAAAACAAAAGAAGAGTAAAAATCACACATTGGCTTGAATGCTCAGTGGCTCTAAAGCTATTAAAGGTGGGGAGAATTCTATCTTTGATATTGGTCTCCTCCATCATTTAAGAGCAGCCTAACATCTGAAGAGTAAGGTTAACTTGTGCCTTTGCAATGAACCAGAGTGAGCCCTTGTTTTGTAACAAGAAAACTGCAACAGTAACGTGTCCACAGTTTGATGGGCTGGGGTAAGGATCTTATTTTGCTTTGGGTAGTACGAAAGAATGAACCTAGGGCCTTTTATATGTGAGGCAAAGAATTTTACCACTGAGAATATTTTCAGCCCCACTTAAATATTGTGGTTTTTTGTTTTAAGAAGAGGGTATTACTAATTCTAAAACAGTTATGTCATCTAGGAAGGCCCTGATCTGCCTCAGTCACCAGAGTGTATAGGATACAGGCAAAAGCCACCACATCCAGCCTTGGCAGGATCAAAACCAAAGCCCTCTATGATTTCATGTTTTCAACTAAATGCCAGAACACCTTGTGCAGCCCATGACTGTAACACGCACTTGGGGTGCAGAGCAAAACCCTATCACAAAAAATTTTAAAAACCAAGGAAACTAAACAAAATGAAACCAGCAACAGCGGAAAAACACCACCACCATCCAAAATCTATTGTTTAAATACCTTGGGCAAAACTAGGGTCCCCTCATACAGGTTTTGGGGTAGGAGCTATGTAGCGGATGTTGTTTGCTTTCAGTGCTTGGGCCTTGCACAGCTGAGCTAAGCAGAGATAAGCACGTCTTTAAAATGCTCACTGAAAGGAAAAGGAGCAGCCGAGCATGCGGCACATGCCATCAATCCAGGAGGATCGTGAGTCTGAAGTCAGCCTGGGCCACAGGAGTCCCTGTCTACAGACGAATGAATAAGTAAGACCAACAGTAAGACGCAACTTCACAAAAATCTGGAAATCCAAGGGGAAAAGCTTTTGTTACTAAGGAAAACAAAAAGCAAAACTGAAAATAACCAGGCATTGTGCATGCCTGTAATCCAGAAGTCAGGAAGAGGAGGCCCACCAGCTCCAAGCCAACTAGGACGATGGCCTTAACCACCACACACACAGATACACACACCACACACGTATACCACACATGCAGACCACACATTCATACACACACAAAGAATTTAAAACTTTAAAAAAAAATCTGAAGATGAAAGGAAAATATTTTTGACTTGCCATCTTTTTTCCCAAAACAGAAGACTGCCAACTCCCATTTGACAGCCTAACAAATTCTACTCCTGCGGCATTCTCTGTAATTGAAGAACCCGTGTACGCACAAGCAGCTCTGGAGGGCCGCCTGCAGTATTTGCAGGCACTTTTTCTTTAGTGATGGGCTTATGACCTGATTAAACCCATCTTAAATAGAAAATAGATTCATTGTATGTGTATGGGGAGGCTCAAGATGGCCTCAATAAAGAGCTGGCTTCAATAAGGGGATTGAAGGCAGGTACCACTATGTCTGGCAAACAATTTAGTGGCTCTTACAATTTTTTCAGTATGGAAAATTAACCAAAAGCAATTTGGGAGTTTGTTGTTTTGAGACAGGGCCTGGGTGGCCTTGACTACAGGAAGAACACAGCCTGCCTCTGTGTACAATCCCAGTGCTGGGACTGTAAGTGATGGCTGCCCCAGGGTGGCTCACAACCATCTATAATGGGCTCTGATGCTCTTCTGGCCCGCAGGCACACATGCAAGCAGCACACTATCTAATAAAATCTAGCAAATGAAAAACTCTGTGGCCTCTGCTCAGTTGGGCCTGAAGAATCATCTGCAATCAAGGAGACTGCATCACTGAATCTTCGCTTTGTAAGACACAGGGGTCAGCTGTGATTAACCAGCCTGATGAGGTGAAAACTTCAGCGCTTCCTTGGACACTGGAGTATCTCCTAAAGCTCAGCTCACCCAAACTGCTCTGAGGGAACCAAGACTATGTCAAGGCAGCCTGAGCACTTGGCAAGCAATGTCTAAGAGTTTCCTACATGGTAACAGCTTTGAAGAGGTCACAGTATCTTGGTCTTGGCATTGTGTGTCAGGGTTAGAGTACCTGAAGTGCTATCACTACCTTTTCTGGAGGCTAGGATAATCTTTAACTTTGGATCTTTCTGCTTCCATCGTATCAGTACTTGGAGACTGGCATGTACTCATCCCAAGCTAAACTCAGAACTTGTGCAAGCGTGCCTGTGTCTTACTGTGGCTCCCTACTTTACGACTGTGTGGATATGGAGGGGCGGTGGTCCCTAGCAAGTGCATGGTCAGAAGACCACTTCCCATTTCTCTTCCACTTTCCACATGGGTTCCAGGAATGAAGCTCAAGCTGTCAGGTTTCTGCAGAAACACATACCCCTACCTGCTGCCCCACTGCAGCACCAAAGACCTGAGGCTCACACATTTGCTGAGCTGCCTTGTCTGGCAAGCCTTGGGATCCTTGTCTCTGCCTTCCCAGCCCAAGCATTACGGCTCAGCTGACAAGGGACGCAAGTTTGGATCCTCTTGCTTGAGGAACCATCATCCCCAAAGACCATTCAAATTTTGTCCAGTGGAGGGTGGTGCCTACGAGGTCACAGGACAACTTGCAGTTAGTTCTGTCTACCTTGTCGCTTCCAAGGACTGCAAGCTGGTGCCACGTGCCTTCACCCATTGAGTTGTATTTGCTGACTGCTAAGGAAAACTTTCATAAGCCTTAGTTTTGCATAACACAACCAAAGGCCCCACGGGAAGAGTTCCTGTAAAATTTCTCCAATGTAAGCATCATCACACAGAGACTATGAAAACACTTGATTATCTTTACTAACTGCCGTTGATCTCATTTAAGCTTTAAATTCCAAAGCCTAGTCTAACACTGTGCTCAGGTTCAAAAACCTGTTGTGTACCACAGCACACAGGTTCCAAAGATCAAGGTCAGGCTTTGGTGGCAAGCTCCTTTATCCGGAGCCATCCTCCTCATCCTTGAACAACAGTATTTTCTCACTGAAAACTGTAGGCGAGGGAGATGGATCAGTGGATAAAAGCACTTGCTGTTCCTCTGAGCTTACTTTCTAGCATCCAGAGCCCACAGCTACCTGCAACTCTGAGCTCCACAGAACAACTCCTCTAGCTTCTCTGGGCTTTGCACTCATATGCACATAATTAAAATTTTCTAAAAAGCATGGAAGCCAAGCAGCAGGTTCATTTACAAAAGGAAATTCTAAGCCAGGTAGGTCAATTTGCCTCCAATTCCAGCTTCTCAGGAGGCCCAGGCAGAAACTACAAGTTCTAGCCCCGACTGGACCATGAGACAAGTTCAAGGACAGGCTGTAAAACTTGGAAATGAAAAATTATGTCGAGAGCTGGGAACATAGTCTACTGGTGGGTGCTTGCTTGCCTAGGGTGCCCGAAGCACTGTGTGATCGCCAGTACCACATAAGCCAGCGGTGGGGGGCACACCAGTATCCCCACGCTGGAAAGGTACAGAAGGAGCAGAAGTTCCCGGCTACCTCAACTCCACAGCCGAGTTCTCGGTCAGCCTGGACTACACGAGATCCTCTCATAACTAGTTTTTATAGTTATGATAACCAGTTCACATTCATTTCTATTTCTAAGATGGGCAATTACTGCCCTCACATAAGTTAAATTAATCACATCCAAATTTTGCAGCAAGATTGGTACTTTAGCAAAGACAGAAAGACGGCAAACTGTTCAAAGTCCAATCACACAAAGTCACCTTCTTACATATTCACTCAGACAGCAGTCACACACAAAAAACCAAGACTAGCTTAAAAGGGGGGAGGCCAAATTATTATTATTGACTTAAAATTTGATTACAACCAATTTTGTTGGCATTTAAAATTGGAGACGTTTAGATTTCAATAATGGCAATATACCAATATCCAGGAATCAAGTTTGGTAAAAATAGGACGTTTCCTAATAATGACAGGTTAAAAGGCAAGTCAATTTTGAGGAACACAGACAAACTCCATGTTTACAGTGAACGTGCCAGATTGAACCTTCAGTAGTATATAAGTACATCTTTCACATTTAGATCTTCACTTTTGTTATCTGACAGCTGTTCTTAAAAAAAAAAAAAAAAAAATTCAGTACCTGTGCAAATAAACAGTCTTCTATGTGCCTTAGAAGGCATCCACTTAAAATATCTCCACTGTATATGTACAAAACACCCACCACATCTGCAGGATAAAATACATACTTTCATAACAAAACTATAATGTACCTCTCAAGTATGAACAATATACACATAATACATGGTATACAGTATTTACAAAATATAAAATATAATACAAGCTGCTCGAATGACTTAAGCTCACTGTTGTTTGCCACAACGAGGCAAGTTTTTACTGCTGTATCCACTTCCGTGAGAGTCCAAGGATTTGGGGAAAATCTATGTTGAACATACACATTGACAACTAGACTCTAAGCCTGCACCTTGAGGAGCGTCTTCAGGTGCTCCGCCATCAGCTCCCGGCTCTGGCTGGGGTTCTCAGCACTGCCCCCCGTCCAGTGACTGGGAGGCTTTGGAAGAGCACTAGGGGACGGCGGGTCACTAAACTTTGCTCCAGCATAATTTTCCTTTTGGCTCACTTCTGTTAGAAACGCTGACTTCTTCAAATGGTTACTTTTAATGTTCTCAGTATTTTTAAAAGGCTTTTTTCCCTGCTTCTGCATTCTATCAGGGGAAGCAGAATCTTGCCAGAAGTCATTTTCGTTCCTTTTTGCAGAGGTGATCTTGGTTAGTGGCAAGTTAAATTTGCTTTTCTGTCTGTTTATCTTTGGTTGTTCACACAAGTGTATACCATGCCCAAGCTGGCTGTGGGGAAGGGCAATTTTCTCCGATTTTCCCATCTTTGATTTTAAAACCTACAAAGAAACACAACAGTGAATAGTTTTCAAGAAAAAAGTTATCTTTAAATCATATGTTTTATAAATTTGCTTTTAAATTCCTCTAGAATTTAATTCAGTTTTGACTAAATACTTATGTGCTGGCTGTGCCTGGTCCTGGCTGCATCTAATGTTGCTCTTGAAAACATGACATCAATGTTGTTAGTTACCAGCATAAAGTAAAATATCAAACTTAAAAATCAAGGTAATTATGTCCATTTTTTCTAACTGTAAACAATTGTAAGGGTCCTCTATGCCTTGGAAAAACGTTCCTGTCTGCCTTTCAGATTCAATAACTTCATGAAGAACTTCATTAAGACCCATCAAAAGGCCAGTAAGGAAGAGACAGGAAGGTAAATTACAGGCCAGCCTAGGCTACTTGGTTAATCTTACCAACCCTGCCCACTCCCACCAAACACAACAAACACTTTTGCTCACTCTAGTAACTTTCCTAACAAAAAGTGGAATCTTACAAATTTGTATCAAATGAAAACTACCATTAGATCACTGCCCTTCTGATGCTTACATGATAGCAAGGACATAACTGAAAGCGAAATACAAGGTCACACATTTCCACAGTGAGGGTAACACAGCCTTCCTTTTCTTAACATCTTTTTCAGGCTTCCTTCTAATGCTGTCTTTGAAAAATGGAATCTTCATGGCCAGACCTTGTAGGTTGGTATCTCAAGAACCTTAGAGCTAATCTGTAGGTGTGGTGCAGCCAGTAATCCCAGAATTTTGGGGTGGTGGTGAATCATCAAGTTAGTTTCAGCTGCACAGTGAGTTCTACAACTACAATAAAATATGAACATGTTAGAATCTAAAGTTTTAATTCCACGGTCGCACCCTGATCAAGTACAAATTTCAGTACGATGTCTGTGTTTCCTATCATTGCCAACAAATAAATCCTTCAAATGGTACGATTCTTTTTTTGCTAAGACAACTTTCAAATCTTTTAACCCCGACGAAACTTTATCCATTTTATTATCCAAAATCAGTCAATTGCGTAGTCCATCTGATAAACTTCTGGCAGACCGGGCAGCGGGGCAGGCTCCCGCCCGCCCGCCCCGCTCACAGCAGGGGCGGGGGCAGGAAAAACACCCCAGGTCCAACTTAGCGGGTCAAGGCCGCGGGCGGGTCTGGCCGGGCGCCCCAGTGGGCACCGCGCCCGCGCCCCCGCCCGGCACCGCCTTCATGAGCGCCCCGGGGCGCCGCACGTAGCGGGCTGACGTCAGCCCTCCGCCAGTCCGCCAGCCCCGACCGCCCAGAGCCCCCGGAAGGCCGCCGCCAGCCTTCTAAATGCGGGCTGTTGCTGGGCAGCCGCCGCGGCTCCCATTGGCCGGCTGCGGAGCCAATGGGCGGCGCCGCCCCGCCCCGCCCCCTCCCCGCGCTTCCGCCCCGCGGCTCCCGCGAGCGTCACGGAAACTTCCCTCCCGAGTAAACAGCCGCCCCGCCCCCACCGCTACCTCCTTCGCGAGCGGGGGCTGTCTGCGCAGCGGGGCCGCGGCCGCCGGGGCCCGCTCCTCCGGCGCCGCGCCCGGCCCGGCCGCCGG